AGTCCACTTCCTAGTTGCTATATCTTCCGCTTCAGAGACTCTTCAGTTCTCAGAACAGGAAGACTCCTCTCTTCCTGTTCCCCGAACCAACCAACCACTTGTTATTGTCGAACCGACAGCGTTCGTTAGCTGCAGCAAGTCGAGTCCCCTATTCGATCGACCAACGGAAAAGGCCTGAAGGGGGGTATAAGCATTGATCACAGCACAATTAAAGATGGCTGGTTACCGCAGCTGGTCCTGGCCTGCGTGTGACTCCCAACGGACATGTGGGGGAGAAGCTGGACCCGCTGGGTGAGTTCTTTTCAGGCCCTTATATAGGGAATAGGGCGCCATTTCGGACGCAGTGAGGTCTGGTAAACAACTGTATCCAGTGGTGGGATCTTTCCTCTCAGAGCAAAGGCTGATATAATTGTTTTAAGGAGAGCTTTACCCTCCGACTTTAATCTTCTGACTGACGACCATAAGGTCTCAGACACCCCAATAGCATTTGCTGGCCGAGAGTACCTAGCCCAACTGAACGTAATTTGTGAACAGAGTGCGCACCGATTTTTGTAGAATCTGGTGAAAAATGTTGACAGTCAGACATCTACAATGGGTGGTCCCTAAAACACAGCGCGCTAAATGATTGGCAGACGAATGCTAGATCCACATCTGATGCAATGTGTGCGATCCTTAAGATATGTTTTGTGGGAGACTTTGAAGTTCAGTTCAGCTCCCGGTTGTGTTCGATTGATGTTTAAGCTAGTTGTGGTATTTTTTTTTGTCTGAAGATTATTGATATTGTAGTCTTCAGATCTTCCCAAATTGGAGGTCTTGAATGGTAACCGAAGTCCTTTTGTTTGTTCAAGGACTTTGTAGTTCTATGGACTTTATAGTCCTGTTTTCTATGACTCATATCAAACTGAGAATATACCTTTTTGAATTGTAAGATTTGTGAAAATGGTTCATGAACTCTATCCTTTGATAAGAGCAAGCTTCACACACGGTTGACTGGTGACCAGCCCACACCTCCAAGTCCAGCCAATGGAAAAAGACTCCAAGGTTGTGAAGCGATGAACTGACCTGACCAGAGGGGTTTGTAGGCAAACATTATTATTATATATTTTTTTTAAAGGCAAAGTGTTTGGGAGCTGAAAGGGGAGGCAGCATTGGGAGTGCAGTGAACAAGGCTGTCAGTTCCAATTCGTATGATGTACTGTAAATCTAACAGGCTCAGAGTGCTGCGTCTCCTTATCATAACATCCTCTCGTGTGAGGCGGAATATTTGTTCTGAAGCACTCTGACCCGACAGCCTTAAACACAGACGGGCCAGGGGTGGGAGGAGGATTTGTTTGCTCTGGGGTTGTATGGGTGGTATACATAAGTTAACATAATACTAGTGGAGCCCCAGAGTTCACAAGACCCATGTTTAAATGCTGTTCATATGTCCTATGAATGAAATAATGTGCAGATTGTCAATATATGAAGTGTAAATAATATGGTTGTGTTTGTATGATTTTAAATGCTGTTCAAATGTCCTATGAATGAAATTAAAATGCCATGTGCCTTTATCGCCTACAATACAGTCCTCAAATGTGAATTTCCATTAAATATGGAGAAAAACATAATGGTGACGTATTCCAATCTGCTTTAATTTGCATGCTGAGAATGTGGTAACATTAGGTCAAACTTAAATATAAAATTGTCTAAATGTTCTTGAAATGTTCTGAGGACCTCCAAGACAAGGTAAAATATATATTGCGTGAACATCAATGGAATATTATGTTAAACCTAAAACAAATACAGTGGGGGAAAAAAGTATTTAGTCAGCCACCAATTGTGCAAGTTTTCCCACTTAAAAAGGTGAGAGAGGCCTGTAATTTTCATCATAGGTACACGTCAACTATGACAGACAAAATGAGAAAAAGAAATCCAGAAAATCACATTGTAGGATTTTTTATGAAATTATTTGCAAATTATGGTGGAAAATAAGTATTTGGTCAATAACAAAAGTTTCTCAATACTTTGTTATATACCCTTTGTTGGCAATGACACAGGTCAAACGTTTTCTGTAAGTCTTCACAAGGTTTTCACACACTGTTGCTGGTATTTTGGCCCATTCCTCCATGCAGATCTCCTCTAGAGCAGTGATGTTTTGGGACTGTCGCTGGGCAACACAGACTTTCAACTCCCTCCAAAGATTTTCTATGGGGTTGAGATCTGGAGACTGGCTAGGCCACTCCAGGACCTTGAAATGCTTCTTACGAAGCCACTCCTTCGTTGCCCGGGCGGTATGTTTGGGATCATTGTCATGCTGAAAGACCCAGCCACGTTTCATCTTCAATGCCCTTGCTGATGGAAGGAGATTTTCACTCAAAATCTCACGATACATGGCCCCATTCATTCTTTCCTTTACACGGATCAGTCGTCCTGGTCCCTTTGCAGAAAAACAGCCCCAAAGCATGATGTTTCCACCCCCATGCTTCACAGTAGGTATGGTGTTCTTTGGATGCAACTCAGCATTCTTTGTCCTCCAAACACGACGAGTTGAGTTTTTACCAAAAAGTTATATTTTGGTTTCATCTGACCATATGACATTCTCCCAATCCTCTTCTGGATCATCCAAATGCACTCTAGCAAACTTCAGACGGGCCTGGACATGTACTGGCTTAAGCAGGGGGACACGTCTGGCACTGCAGGATTTGAGTCCCTGGCGGCGTAGAGTGTTACTGATGGTAGGCTTTGTTACTTTGGTCCCAGCTCTCTGCAGGTCATTCACTAGGTCCCCCCGTGTGGTTCTGGGATTTTTGCTCACCGTTCTTGTGATCATTTTGACCCCACGGGGTGAGATCTTGCGTGGAGCCCCAGATCAAGGGAGATTATCAGTGGTCTTGTATGTCTTCCATTTCCTAATAATTGCTCCCACAGTTGATTTCTTTAAACCAAGCTGCTTACCTATTCCAGATTCAGTCTTCCCAGCCTGGTGCAGGTCTACAATTTTGTTTCTGGTGTCCTTTGACAGCTCTTTGGTCTTGGCCATAGTGGAGTTTGGAGCGTGACTGTTTGAGGTTGTGGACAGGTGTCTTTTATACTGATAACAAGTTCAAACAGGTGCCATTAATACAGGTAACGAGTGGAGGACAGAGGAGCCTCTTAAAGAAGTTGTTACAGGTCTGTGAGAGCCAGAAATCTTGCTTGTTTGTAGGTGACCAAATACTTATTTTCCACCATAATTTGCAAATAAATTCATTAAAAATCCTACAATGTGATTTTCAGGATATTCTTTTCTCAATTTGTCTGTCATAGTTTACGTGTACCTATGATGAAAATTACAGGCCTCTCTCATCTTTGTAAGTGGGAGAACTTGCACAATTGGTGGCTGACTAAATTCTTTTTTTCCCCACTGTATGCTATGAACGTCATAAAAACAAACGTATTTAATTCTTACGACATTGCCTGAATGTCATCACAACTGAGCATATATTGTGTTTTGGGAACCTATCTCTCTTAATGTACTCAGTGTTCCCACAACCTAATTACATATATATTCCGGGAATCTTTAAAGAACTCAGAAAAAGGCTGTTCTGTCAACATTCTTGCAACATCAAAGGAATGTTTTGTGCACCCTGATACAAACATTATCTGAATGTCAGCAAAACTGGACATTTTCTGTGTTTTGGGAACATACAGTATCTCTTGTCATTTCCCCACAATGTTACAATAACCTAATGAAACATTCTGGGAGCCTTTTAAAGAACAGATGAAGTGTGTTCTGGGAATGTTCTTAGAACATCAGGTGAATGTTTTTTGCACCCTAAAAGAAACGTTGTAGAATCATCCGCACAACTGGACAGTTTTTGTATTTTTGGGAACATATCTTTTATCATGTCCCCACAAGGTTCTCACCAGACTGCTCCCACAACCTAATGAAACATCCTGGGAACCTTTAAATGTATTATAGGAACATTCTTGCAATATCAGGCAAATGTTTTAAACAAACGTTCTATAATCACCAGGAATGGAACGTTTATGTGTTATGAGAACATTCGCCGCGACCTAACAAAGGTTCTGGGAACTTTCACAGAACCAATTTGGGATTGCTGGGAAAACATTACTGGTACATTTGTTATTACATTACCTGGAAACCTAGTGGCTGGTGGACCAAAAAGGTTTTCAGGCCCTGTACACGGGGTACCAGTACCAAGTCGAGGTGCAGGGGTACAAGATAATTGAGGTAGATATGTACATATACTGAACAAACATATAAACGCAACATGCAACAATTTCTAAGATTTTACTGAGTTAAAGTTCATATAAGGAAATCAGTCAATTTAAATAAATAAATAAATTAGGCCCTAACCTATGGATTTCACGAGTGGGCAGGAGTGCAGTCAGGGGTGGGCCTTGAAGGGCATAGGACCACCCACTGGGGAGCCAGGCCCAGCCAATCAGAATGAGTTTTTCCCCACAAAAGGGCTTTATTACAGACAGATTGACTTCTCAGCACCCCCCCTAGACGATCCCACAGGTGAAGAAGCCGGATGTGGAGGTCCTGTGGTTGTGAGGCCGGTTGGACATACTGCCAAATTCTCCAAAATGATGTTGGAGGCAGCTTATGGTAGAGAATTGAACATTAAATTATCTGGCAACAGCTCTGGTGGACATTCCTGCAGTCAGCATGTCAATTGCAAGTTCCCTCAACTTGAGACATCTGTGGCATTGTGGTGTGACAAAACTGCACATTTTTAAAGTGGTCTTTTATTGTCCCCAGCACAAGGTGCACCTGTGTAATGAACATACTGTTTAATCAGCTTCTTGATATGCCACACCTTCCTCTGACACTGCCTGGTATAGAGGTCCTGGATGGCAGGGAGCTCGGTCCCAGTGACGTGCTGGGCCGTAAGCACTACACTCTGTAGTGCCTTGCGGTCAGATGCCAAGCAGTGGCCATATTGTCTAACTCTGCGGTTTCTCTTTAGTCGCGACATGGAGAGTAAGGACACCCTGCGTGGTCTGCAGAAGATGGAGGACCGGCCCGAGGAGCGGATGATCCGGGAGAAGCTCAAGGCCACCTGCATGCCCACCTGGAAGCACGAGTGGCTGGAGAGACGTAGCAGGAGGGGCCCGGTGGTGAGCTGCTGCAGCCTGACACACACATGCACACAGAAACAAACACACACTGAGAGACAAACGCACACACTGCTATGTACTGTATAAACATGTACGTTCACAAACACACACACACACACAACTATCACAGATCACCACACGTGTGTGCTTCGCTTACTGTGCCACACCTAACATTATAGATCCAAGCAACTCTTAAATATTCACTATGTTGATGCTTTGAAATAAGGTTTGTTTTTATGACTGAAATCTGGCAGATGAAGGGAATTGGACATTTCCAACCCTGGGCATTGCACCATTGCGTTGCACCATTGCGTTGCACCCAGTCTTTCACAGCAGACACAGATGCTGACTTCTAAATGGACCTCTAGCCCCTGACCTCTAGCCCCTGACCTCTAGCCCCTGACCTCTAGCCCCTGACCTCTAGCCCCATGACCTCTAGCCCCATGACCTCTAGCCCCATGACCTCTAGCCCCTGACCTCTAGCCCCTGACCTCTAGCCCCTGACCTCTAGCCCCTGACCTCTAGCCCCATGACCTCTAGCCCCTGACCTCTAGCCCCTGACCTCTAGCCCCTGACCTCTAGCCCCTGACCTCTAGCCCCTGACCTCTAGCCCCTGACCTCTAGCCCCTGACCTCTAGCCCCTGACCTCTAGGCACTCTTCTGAGAGGATTGGATAGATATATGTATTATGGTAATATAGCTACATCATGCCTTCCGATTGGCTGCATGGAAATGTCAATGCTTCCACCTTTCCAATTCTCTTAGCTCTACAGGCCCATGTTCAGTTGACGAACGTTGCCGATAGAAATGCCATGGATAGAGCCGACATGATTCCTTGTTCTACATGTCGGAGAAGCATGTTTGTTTTACATAACACAAGTCTATCTGAACGTTCCAAAACGTTGTGCCCTGCTGAACGCGCCCCAGGAGTGGCTTGGGAGTAGGGTCTAGTGGTGGATTTGACATTCAGCCACTGTAAAGGGACTCCACTGTAATTTGGCCTAACCCCAACCACATATTAACCCCCTCCCAACTGTCCCCCTCTGTCCCGCCCTCCCCCTCTGTCCCCTCCTTCTCCCCCTCTGTCCCTCCCTCCCCCTCCTTCCCTCCCCCTCTGTCCCTCCTTCCCTCACTCCCTCCCCCTCTGTCCCTCCTTCCCTCCCCCTCTGTCTCTCCTTCCCTCCCTCCCTCCCCCTCTGTCCCTCCCTCCCTCCCCCTCTGTCCCTCCTTCCCTCCCCCTCTGTCTTTCTTTCCCTCCCTCCCTCCCCCTCCTTCCCTCCCTCCCTCCCCTCTGTCCCTCCTTCCCTCCCTCCCTCCCCCGCTGTCCCTCCTTCCCTCCCCCTCTGTCCCTCCTTCCCTCCCCCTCTGTCTCTCCCTCCCTCCCCCTCAGGTGGTGAAGCCCGTCCCCCTGCGACCGGATGGGAGCGAGGCTGGCTGCAAAGGGGCGGAGGCCGGAGCCGACACGCCCACCAGCTCATCCCCCCAGCAGAGCAGAGGCCGCCGAAGCCCCTCCCCCGGAACCCCCTCTTCCTCCTCCTCCTCCTCCTCCTCTGGCAGGGCCGGTGGGAAGCCTGAATCCCCCGGGGTGCGCAGGAAGAGGGCCTCACCCGTGCCGGTGATTAGCCACACACACAGACGTAGCGCACACACACAATACACCAACATAAAGACATTTGATGATAATATAACATTAATTAGATATCAAACCTCTTCACTTGGGGTTTAAAGAACTGTAAAAAGTATCATAGCAATATAAAGTCCTAAGTGACTATTTAGTGACAATATAATGAACCCATGTAACTATTTGTCTGAGGCTGTCTTGATCTGATGATGTCGTTGTGTAGTTTCAGAGTGGCAGGGTGACGCCCCCTCGCCGGGCGCCCTCCCCAGACGGCTTCTCCCCCTACAGTCCTGAGGAGACCAGTCGCCGTGTCAACAAGGTCATGAGGGCCCGCCTCTACCTACTGCAGCAGATAGGCCCCAACTCCTTCCTGATTGGAGGAGACAGCCCAGACAACAAATACAGGGTGTTCATTGGTCCACAGGTAGGAAGTGCTGGATGTCCACTCGGACCAATGAAGAAAGATGAAAGAGAATCAAGACTCATTTTCACATCGACTCCCTCTACCCTCTATGTACTTATTAAAAGGGTTAGATAGGTGTTAGCAGTATGACAGAAATTCCACCCCAGCTTTTACCGAATTGCGTTTACAGCAATGGTCTTAAGAGTAACTGTCCATTGAAAATCTCACTTTTAAAAGTTAATATTCTGTTAACTCATACCCAAATAATGTTGTAGACTCGTTCTACACTCGTATTTGTGGCCAAAGCATAAATTGGAGAAAAAATAGGGCTGGGAATTGCAAGGGACCTCACGATAAGATATTGTCATGATACTTAGGTGCCGATATGTATTGCGATTCGATACTGTGATTTCATTGCGATTCAATGTTCTCCCCCTACAGTTCTGAGGAGACTAGCGGGAAAATATAAATTGTGATATTGTCAAAACGATACAATACTATATATCGTCAAAAATAATATCCCCATATGTAATTGTACTAAGAAAAAACACTTCAAAAACCACACCTCAAACTTGTATATCAATGCTTGCTATTTTCTCATAGAGTATGATGTCATACTCCTCAGGAGGATGAGCTGACCAATCAGTGGTCTACTCGCATTAAAATATTTTATGACCAGTGTAAGCCCACACTATTCTGTTGCTTTTTAACATACAGTACTTAATTACCATTTTTTGGAAGGAAAATGATTTCACTCGTATTGTAAGTAATTATAGGTCATATTTCATAGTAATCTGGAAACACTGGACAGTTACTTTAACAATTTGCTTCACTTGTACATTGGCCGGCTCTTTTTGTTTACCCAGCCATTTACTAATGTAGAGATGGAATGATTTCCCAGCCATTTACTAGTGTAGAGATGGAATGATGACCCAGCCATTTACTAATGTAGAGATGGAATGATGACCCAGCCATTTACTAATGTAGAGATGGAATGATGACCCAGCCATTTACTAATGTAGAGATGGAATGATTACCCAGCCATTTACTAATGTAGAGATGGAGTGATGACCCAGCCATTTACTAATGTAGAGATGGAGTGATGACCCAGCCATTTACTAATGTAGAGATGGAATGATTACCCAGCCATTTACTAATGTAGAGATGGAATGATGACCCAGCCATTTACTAATGTAGAGATGGAATGATGACCCAGCCATTTACTAATGTAGAGATGGAATGATGACCCAGCCATTTACTAATGTAGAGATGGAGTGATGACCCAGCCATTTACTAATGTAGAGATGGAGTGATGACCCAGCCATTTACTAATGTAGAGATGGAATGATGACCCAGCCATTTACTAATGTAGAGATGGAATGATTACCCAGCCATTTACTAATGTAGAGATGGAATGATTACCCAGCCATTTACTAATGTAGAGATGGAATGATTACCCAGCCATTTACTAATGTAGAGATGGAATGATTACCCAGCCATTTACTAATGTAGAGATGGAATGATTACCCAGCCATTTACTAATGTAGAGATGGAATGATGACCCAGCCATTTACTAATGTAGAGATGGAATGATGACCCAGCCATTTACTAATGTAGAGATGGAATGATGACCCAGCCATTTACTAATGTAGAGATGGAATGATTACCCAGCCATTTACTAATGTAGAGATGGAGTGATAACCCAGCCATTTACTAATGTAGATATGGAATGATTACCCAGCCATTTACTAATGTAGAGATGGAATGATTACCCAGCCATTTACTAATGTAGAGATGGAATGATTACCCAGCCATTTACTAATGTAGAGATGGAATGATTACCCAGCCATTTACTAATGTAGGGATGGAATGATTACCCAGCCATTTACTAATGTAGAGATGGAATGATTACCCAGCCATTTACTAATGTAGAGATGGAATGATTACCCAGCCATTTACTAATGTAGAGATGGAATGATTACCCAGCCATTTACTAATGTAGAGATGGAATGATTACCCAGCCATTTACTAATGTAGAGATGGAATGATGTAGAACTTCATCGCCTCTTACTGAAGGGCTGTGTCCCAAATGACACCCTATTACTTGTATAGTGCACTATATGGGCGAATAGGGTGCTATTTGGGACGCAAGTAAGGATTTCAAAATCTCTATAGATTAAATTTGGTCTTTTGTCGAAAAAAAGTCGCAGCAGATCTGTGTCCGTCTGTGTGACCATTCATGGCCGTCTGTGTGTGCCTGCGCGTGTGTTTGTGAGTGCGATATTCGTATGTATATGCACACACAGGTGAGTAAGCCCCGGTCTGCTGTCCTCCTGTCTCTGTAGACCTGTAGCTGTGGCCGAGGGGCCTTCTGTATCCACGTCCTCTTCGTCATGCTCCGAGTCTTCCAGCTGGAGCCCTCAGACCCCCTGCTCTGGAGGAAAACCCTCAAAAACTTTGAGGTAACCTTCCAGCAACCAACCGACGTGCCCTAACCAATCTGTATAATTCCCCCTTTCTCACTACTGAGCCGAGCAAACTGAGCTGTACCGTGCTGGCCTGTTTACGGATCCACCATAGTTGCTGAAACCGTGCTGGACGGGACAATGTGGAAATGGGATATCCGTACCAGCACAGTATGCTTCAGGTCGAAACAATAGTTCGAAAAGGGCATACATGATTAGTTAAACCCATTTGTAAAGACCCATTTCCAAAGAAACTTCAGAGCTAGAATATTTCTAATTTATGTTTAGGATAACTTTCAATGACTTGCACCATCTTGAATGCACCTTAGATATGCACTTGAATACGTAGATACTTAACCACTAGTGGAGAAAAGGCCAATCTGACCCAAGATCAGTGTCTAGGGCCAACTTCTCCCTACAGTGGCTAACTGTGGCATTGTCTCCAGGTGGAGAGTTTGTTCCAGAAGTACCACAATCGCCGCAGCTCGCGCATCAAGGCGCCGTCGCGCAATACCATCCAGAAGTTTGTGTCGCGCATGTCCAACCCCCACACGTCCTGTCCATCCAGCAGCTCTGGCACCTCCAGCAACGACAGCAGGTAGAGCGCGCGCACACACACACACACACACACACACACACACACACACACACACACACACACACACACACACAGGTATACGGAGTACAGGTGTTGTATTGTAAAACCTATTATGCCAGAAGGCCCTTGAATACCACCAATTGTATAAACAAAAATGGTGGTGTCAAATTTTTATGTAAAGGAGGGTCAAGCATTGGTTTAACAAATTGGTCCAGCTTGGTTTAACACATTGGTCCAGCTTGGTTTAACACATTGGTCCAGCTTGGTTTAACACATTGGTCCAGCTTGGTTTAACACACATTTCTCTCTTTCCCTTTCTGCCCTGTCTGTCTTTATGCATCTATATATTTATATCTATATATTTCCTTTATTTCTCTCTCTCTCTCTCTCTCTCTCTCTCTCTCTCTCTCTCTCTCTCTCTCTCTCTCTCTCTCTCTCTCTCTCTCTCTCTCTCTCTCTCTCTCTCGCTCTCTCTCTCCCAATCTCTCTCTATCTTTCTCTCCCCATACCTCTATCTCTTTCCATCTTTCCCTCTCTCTGTCAGTAGTCTTAAGGATGAAGAGGAGCAGATGTGTCCCATCTGTCTGTTGGACATGCTGGATGAGGAGAGTCTGACTGTGTGTGAGGAGGGCTGCAGGAACAAGCTGCACCACCACTGCATGTCTATCTGTGAGTACAACAGTACGCTATCATAAGTTCAACTCATTTCAACCAACAGTACGCTATCATAAGTTCAACTCATTTCAACCAACAGTACGCTATCATAAGTTCAACTCATTTCAACCAACAGTACGCTATCATAAGTTCAACTCATTTCAACTTTTGACGCATGTACAGTGTAATATAAGCTGTGACATTGTCAAAATTGTTTTACCCCAGTAACACTTAGGGTTAGTTCGTAGGGCAGGTGTATTCAAATCTTACCCTACGAGGTCCTGAGTACTGCTGGTTTTCTGTTCTACCAGATAATGAATTGCACTCACCTGGTGTCCCAGGTCTAAATCGGTCCCTGATTAGAGAGGAAGAATACATTTTTAAAAAGCAGTTAAACTGGCATCGAGGTCCAGATTTGAATTTGAGAGGCATATGGTATTCTGCTGTAGTTGCTTTTAAGAACGTTATGGTATTCTGCTGTAGTTGCTTTTAGGAACGTTATGGTATTCTGCTGTAGTTGCTTTTAGGAACGTAATGCACAGGTACAGTGAGGGAATAAAGTATTTGATCCCCTGCTGATTTTTGCCCACTGACAAAGACATGATCAGTCTATAATGTTAATGGTAGGTTTATTTGAACAGTGAGAGACAGAATAACAACAAAAAAATCCAGAAAAACACATGTCAAAAATGTTATAAATTGATTTGCATTTTAATGAGGGAAATAAGTATTTGACCCCTCTGCAAAACATGACTTAGTACTTGGTGGCAAAACCCTTGTTGGCAATCACAGAGGTCAGACGTTTCTTGTAGTTGGCCACCAGGTTTGCACACATCTCAGGAGGGATTTTGTCCCACTCCTCTTTGCAGATCTTCTCCAAGTCATTAAGGTTTCGAGGCTGACGTTTGGCAACTCGAACCTTCAGCTCCCTCCACAGATTTTCTATGGGATTAAGATCTGGAGACTGGCTAGGCCACTCCAGGACCTTAATGTGCTTCTTCTTGAGCCACTCCTTTGTTGCCTTGGCCGTGTGTTTTGGGTCATTGTCATGCTGGAATACCCATCCACGACCCATTTTCAATGCCCTAGCTGAGGGAAGGAGGTTCTCACCCAAGATTTGACGGTACATGGCCCCGTCCATCGTCCCTTTGATGCGGTGAAGTTGTCCTGTCCCCTTAGCAGAAAAACACCCCAAAATCATAATGTTTCCACCTCCATGTTTGACGGTGGGGATGGTGTTCTTGGGGTCATAGGCAGCATTCCTCCTCCTCCAAACACGGCGAGTTGAGTTGATGCCAAAGAGCTCAATTTTGGTCTCATCTGACCACAACACTGAATCATTCAGATGTTCATTGGCAAACTTCAGACAGCCCTGTATATGTGCTTTCTTGAGCAGGGGGACCTTGCGGGCGCTGCAGGATTTCAGTACTTCACGACGTAGTGTGTTACCAATTGTTTTCTTGGTGACTATGGTCCCAGCTGCCTTGAGATCATTGACAAGATCCTCCTGTGTAGTTCTGGGCTGATTCCTCACCATTCTCACGATCATTGCAACTCCACGAGGTGAGATCTTGCATGGAGCCCCAGGCTGAGGGAGATTGACAGTTATTTTGTGTTTCTTCCATTTGCGAATAATCGCACCAACTGTTGTCACCTTCTCACCAAGCTGCTTGGCAATGGTCTTGTAGCCCATTCCAGCCTTGTGTAGGTCTACAATCTTGTCCCTGACATCCTTGGAGAGCTCTTTGGTCTTGGCCATGGTGGAGAGTTTGGAATCTGATTGATTGATTGCTTCTGTGGACAGGTGTCTTTTATACAGGTAACAAGCTGAGATTAGGAGCACTCCCTTTAAGAGTGCTCCTAATCTCCGCTCGTTACCTGTATAAAAGACACCTGGGAGCCAGAAATCTTTCTGATTGAGAGGGGGTCAAATACTTATTTCCCTCATTAAAATGCAAATCAATTTATACAATTTTTTACATGTGTTTTTCTGGATTTTTTTGTTGTTATTCTGTCTCTCACTGTTCAAATAAACCTACCATTAAAATTATAGACTGATCGTTTCTTTGTCAGTGGGCAAACGTACAAAATAAGCAGGGGATCAAATACTTTTTTCCCTCACTGTATATCCATTATGGCGCTACCACTGTACGCAAACTACTTCAACTGGTGAAGAAAAGCACTGAGTGAAAACAAGACTTTCAGGTCCTCCTCACGGCTTCTACTCTGTGTATTTTAGAGTCATTTCACCGTATCAGCCACTCTCAAAATGCATGTATAATCACACCACACCTCATCAAACAGAGGCTGACTCTGTGAAGCGGGAATGATAATAGCCTTTAGCATTCCATATTGCCTTCCAAAGCGACCTCCCCTAACATCGACCGACTGACTGCATGAGACCTGGGTCTCTGTGGCCCGGCCTCAGACATGGACTCGTCTGACATTTAGTGACTCCATGCAGTCATCCATGAAGGTTTTATAGTCCAGCGAGCCTGACTGGCGACCGCACCACCACCCACCACTCCGCTTACTCCCATCCCATTACCCCTACACACACACACACACACACACACACACACAGCCCCCTCGATAGAAGTCTGAAACGTTCGTGCCGAGGCTCTGGTCCTTCTCTTCTCTCTATAAACCAGTCTAATTGTTGCTCCATTTTATTGGAGCATTGACTTCCTTGACAGCCAGTCAGTGCATTGTCCTCTTTCTAAACTGGGGGGAGAGCTAATTCTGTTGGTCGGACTGTCCGTCTCTGTCTCTTTTTGTCTGTTTGTCTCGCAGGGGCTGAGGAATGCCGGCGGAACCATGAGACGCTCATCTGCCCCCTCTGTAGAGCCAAGTGGAAGTCCCATGATTTTTACAGGTAATTATAACGTGTGTTTGTGTGTGTGCTAGGAACTAGCAACTCCTGGAAAGTCTCCTGGGATGGGGGGGAGGGGGATTGATTCGACAGCGCACCAGCTGGTATCTGGTATTGTTGTGTGAAAGACGGGGGAAGCGGCTTCACTATATTTGTGTCTGGGAGGAAAGGAAACACCTGCCTCGTCTGAGATGACAGAACAGCTGTGGAGCTTAACAAATCTCATGCGAGCTGAATGCAAGTTATGGTTAACTAACAGTTAGCTAACTATTGAATGGTTTATAAGCTGTTTATAAGCTCATAAAGTGTTATGGATTTAGACTAGAGCATATCGTGTGGAACTGCACAATGAATCTGTGATGGATTCATTGTAGGACGTCAGTGGCACACAGTAGCCCAGAGACAGGAAAGAGCCTTAAGTGTTTGCGGTGAGCTACGCTACAGTGCATTCGGAAAGTATTCAGACCTCTTGACTTTTTCCACATTTTGTTACGTTACAGCCTTATTCTAAAATGGATTAAATTGTTTTTTCCCCCTTCATCAAGCTACACACAATACCCCATAATGACAAAGCAAAAACTGGTTTTTAGAGAAATGTTTGCAAATTTATATAAAAAATAAATAATAATAATATTTACTTAAGTATTCAGACCCTTTACTCAGTACTTTATTGAAGCACCTTTGGCAGCGATTACATCCTTGAGTCTTCTTGGGTATGACGCTACGAGCTTGGCACACCTGTATTTGGGGAGTTTCTCCCATTCCTCTCTGCAGATCCTCACAAGCTCTGTCAGGTTGGATGGGGAGCGTCACTGCACAGCTATTTTCAGGTCTCTCCAGAGATGTCCGATCGGGTTCAAGTCCGGGCTCTGGCTGGGCCACTCAAGGACATTCAGAGACTTGTTCCGAAGCCACTCCTGCGTTGTTTTGGCTGTGTGCTTAGGGTCGTTGTCCTGTTGGAAGGTGAACCTTCGCCCCAGTCTGAGGTCCTGAGCGTTCTGGAGCAGGTTTTCATTCATCAAGGATCTCTCTGTACTTTGCTCCATTCATCTTTCCCTCGATCCTGACTAGTATCCCAGTCCCTGCCGCTGAAAAACATCCCCACATCATGATGCTGCCACCACCATGCTTCACGATAGGGATGGTGCCAGATTTCCTCCAGACGTGACGCTTGGCATTCAGGCCAAAGAGTTCAATCTTGGTTTCATCAGACCAGATAATATTTTTTCTCATGGTCTGAGAGTCCTTTAGGTGCCTTTTGGCAAACTCCAAGCGTGCTGTCATGTGTATTTTACTGAGGAGTGGCTTCCGTCTGGCCACTACCATAAAGGCCTGATTGGTGGAGTGCTGCAGAGATGGTTGTCCTTCTGGAAGGTTCTCCCATCTCCACAGAGGAACTCTGGAGCTCTGTCAGAGTGACCATCGGGTTCTTGGTCACCTCCCTGGCCAAGGCCCATCTCCCCTGATTGCTGAGTTAAGAAAAAGGGAAGCGGTCTGAATACTTTCTGAATGCACTGTATATTAGGGTAGTCCACAAATGGCTAAAAGTGTGCCATAGCCATCACATTAGCATGTTAGTGGTGCGCTAGGCTATATCATGCTAGGCCAAACAGGGCTACGCTAACGCCAGAGCCATTCCACTTAAAGCCTTATAGAAGCCAACAACTGAGCCCAGGTTGGGAGTTCGGGAATGCCAGTGTCAACAGCCCCGCCGCAACCCCCACACATACACACACACACACACACACACACACACACACACACACACACACACACACACACACACCACCATTTGAGACCCCTTAGCTCTCAACCCTTACAGGCAACGGATGAAAGACACAGCTCACAAAAAACTACTCCTGGGATATGTAGCCAGCCACTGTAAAACATTATAGAACTAAAAACTATAGATATTTTAATGTTCTACACAATATGTTTATCTGAATGCTCTACTGCTGGATAATGTTACATACCCCTGAATGAGCCCATGTCCTACCATAAGCCTCAATAACTAATTTGAACTTGAAGTGCCGTGTGTGGGTGGTGTGTGGGTGGTGTGTGTGCGCGTGAGAATGCACACATATGTTAGTGTGCGTATGCGCGAGTATGCGCACCTGTGTTAGTGTGTGTGTGTGTGTGTGTGTGTACGTAGGTTTGTCGTGAGCTGGATCCCCTCCACAGTGCGGTTATGTGAGCTAGACAGCCAGGCACCAGCCCTTGTTTTGTGCGTCTGCCTGGGAATGAAATGATAGCTGCCTACTAGTTGTTGTTTTCCCCCCCCCTTAAGACATGAATACTGTCAGAAAGGATCTGTTACCCCCTCCGCCACCTCCTCGCTCTGAAATTGTACCCAGTTGTTTTTCAAAGTTTTTTTTGTATGATTTTTTTTCTTCTCGCAATTATGATGATGACCCGCCATGTCACGTGAACCTCGTGCCAATCCAACGGGAAGGAAAGAGTTTAGATTTTTCCGGTTTCAATCTTTTTTTCTCCCCCACCTCCCCCCATTGACAACTTCCCCCCCATTTAATTATATTCCGAAAGTATATTCCTGTATCCTGACCAAACCTGAATCAGCATATTCGTGACCATTATTGATTGTAATATCAATTGCTCAGAACTACAATTCAAACTTAGTCTAGCTACCTACCTACCACCACCATTTTGAGTCCCCCAAAAGTCGCTAAAAGCTCAGACTGACTTTGGCGTCTTTCTCGGCAGCCATGACCCCTCATCTGTCTCCATGGAGAATGCGGCGGCGGCGTCATCGTCCCACAGCGAAGGGGGTTCCAGAGGGGGGTCATCGTCCCAGGAGGGGGACTTCACACTGCCCCAATACGGGGTCCAGCAGATCCCACAGACCTACAAAGAACTGGCCGAGCCCTGGATAAAGGTGAGAGGGGTGGGAAGATATATATGTGGACCCTGGCTCAAATACATCTGTCTAATATTTTCAAATACTTGGTTTACCTTTTGAGCTTGCATTTTTTGTGGGGACGATTCCAAATCCTTTGCATACCAAGAGGGGTTTATGTGTACTTGTGTCTATATCCGTTCAGACTCATTTACTGTCTGTGTCCTCCCAAGGTGTTTGGCATGGAGGTGGTGGGTTGCCTGTTCTCCAGGAACTGGAACATCAGGGAGATGGCCCTGCGGCGGCTGTCGCACGACGTCAGCGGTGCGCTCCTCCTGGCCAATGGCGAGCGCTCCTGCCCGGGGGCGGGGCTAGGGGCCGGGGTGGGCTGCGCTGAGGTGTCGGGTGAGGTGGTGGTGGAGTCGTGCTGTAGCGTCCTCTCCATGGTGTGTGCCGACCCCGTCTACAAAGTCTACGTGGCTGCGCTGGTGAGACTCTTTGACATTTAGATTTTAGTCATTTAGCAGATGGTCTTATCCAGAGCGACTTACAGTTAGTGCTTTCATCTTAAGATAGCTAGGTGGGACAACCACACATCACAGTCACAGCTGATAATTAAATAGTTATCAGCGAAGTCAGTGCTAGTAGAAAAGAGAAGTGCGAGTGATTTAGATGTTTCCCTTCTTTTCTTTAATAGGACTGTACCATACTCCATCTGTCAGGGAAAGCATTTTGGCCCCATAAAGTCTGAAGTCCTTAAACAACCCCTATCACAGCGGTTCCCAAACATTTATCCTTCTATTCCAGGAATCACCATCACTTCAAAGACACTGTACTGTATAAAAAACAAATAAAAAAAAACATGTATGCACTCACTAACTGTAAGTCGCTCTGGATAAGAGCGTCTGCTAAATGACTAAAATAAAAAAATGTAAATAGAGGGTCAAGTAACTTCAGCTCATTGCCATGAACCCAGTGCTGAACACATGAAATGTATTGTTATTGGTACTCAGGAATTGATTAGTTAGCGCTACCCGATCTCCGATTTTACCCTTTGGCCTTTCTCCCACCCACCACATCTCTTGAATTGTCCTAAAGCCCACCTCAACAACAAGCTAACCTGGCTAGTCCTAAAGCCCACCTCAACAACAAGCTAGTCTGGCTAGTCCTAAAGCCCACCTCAACAACAAGCTAACCTGGCTAGTCCTAAAGCCCACCTCAACAACAAGCTAACCTGGCTAGTCCTAAAGCCCACCTCAACAACAAGCTAACCTGGCTAGTCCTAAAGCCCACCTCAACAACAAGCTAACCTGGCTAGTCCTAAAGCCCACCTCAACAACAAGCTAACCTGGCTAGTCCTAAAGCCCACCTCAACAACAAGCTAGTCTGGCTAGTCCTAAAGCCCACCTCAACAACAAGCTAGCCTGGCTAGTCCTAAAGCCCACCTCAACAACAAGCTAGTACTAAAGCCCACCTCAACAACAAGCTAGTCTAAAGTCCACTTTAAATCCAGCAAGTCTCACCAAAGTCAAACCAGCAGGGATTCTCCAGGGACAGACTGAGCGTCTCTCTTTTTCACTCCTCCTAGCCTAATTTCTTCTACTTCGTCTCTTTGGAGAACAATATTTCTTAGTGGCTGTTTTAAAAAATGCAGACCCTCTGGGGAGCTCGACATTTCCCCCCGCGGCACTTTGCTTCAGCAGAGCTGCGGTTATGGAAAACAAAAAGGTTTCTGTCCTCTCTGGGGGCTTTCCAGCGTGTTTAGCAGCAGACAGACTTTTGGCGTCTGCTGTATTCTTCTATCAAGACAAAGCAGGAGATGGTGGTGATGGCGGGAGTGGACTAAAAATACCATGGGCACCACCAGAGTTGGAAGAGTGGGCCAGATTGACTTAAATCGCTGTTGTGAAAAAGGCTCTACTTTGTTTGAGGCTGCCTTGGAAAGTGTGCTCGGATCGCGGGCAAAGTCGTTAGCTACGTGCCTGGGACCTTGAAACGAGTGAAAGTGCCAGTTTCAATAACTCTGATGTTTTTGGGGCTCCTCTTTTCTTAACTTTTCATAGCATGTGACATGGCTTCCCCATTGGAAGTTGTTTGTTTTGCCGAAACGCTTGTTTATTGATACGATCTGTCTCCTAAGAGTAGAATAGACTGTGGAGTATGTAGTAATGTAGAGGGAGAGAGTGTGTGTGTGTGTGTGTGTGTGTGTGTATGTAGTGCTGTGTTTGTGAGTGAGTGGGATGAGGTGGTTGGAGGAAGGAGTAGCCTTGTCTGCCTGGTAGAGGGAGGGAGTGAGAGAGCGAGGGAGAGAACTCTGAGTCTATCCGTCTCTGGGCAGCGTTCCAATGCAACACTCTATCAGTCACCACTCCCCACACCCCTTCTCTCTCTCTCTGGGAGTAAGGGTCAGGCTGCACTGCCTGTAACCCAGCACCTCTACCCCTCTCCTGGGGGGGAGCACCACCAAGTCTCCTCCACCTTCAGCCGAGGCCAAAGAGGCCTCTCTAATGGCCTTGTGGTCAGACCCAGGTGGCCATATTCTCACAGGAATAGACGGGGTCGTAACTCAACTGGGTCAAACGTGCAATTTCCCCAACCGCCTGACCAGTGTTACATTAGGGTTCCAAAAGGTCTTGTGTTCCTCATTCATTTTTCTTTACGCAACTTGCCGTCCCTTGTTATAGAAAACCTTGCGGGCCATGCTGGTGTACACGCCCTGCCACTCCGTGTCTGAACGCTCGCGCCTGCAGCAGCTGCTCCGGCCCGTGGTGGAGACCATCCTGGTCAAATGTGCCGACGCCAACAGGTAAACTCAGTCTCAAACTACAGAGTGGGATAGATATGGGAAGCCTGTCAGTGGCTGACTGCAACTGCTTGTAGCTAGTGCCCTCAGGTGGAGAACACAAAACATGACATGCACTTGTTAGGTTTCGCCCAGTATGATCAGTGGTGAGTTCTATCAGGGATATTCAAATCTGAGCCTGGAGGTCCGGAGTACTGCTGGTTTGCTGTTCTACCTGATAAGTAATTGCACCCACCTGGTGTCTCAGGTCCAAATCAGTCCTTGATTAGAGGGGAACAATGTAAATCAGCAGTGGAACTGGCTTCGAGGTCCAGATATGAATTTCCCTGATATACTGTATATCTCTAAGAACTGACTCAAATATGGGCACCTTTACTGTTAGTCAACAGATTACATGACTCCTGTCTCATTTTAGTAGGTTTACATTGCACACTGGTTAACCCAGAACTAAAATGTTGCTTAATTTGGTCAGATATCTTTACGTAGTCTGTCCACGAGATCACACACTGTATAAAAGTATGACAGTATGAATGACTGCCATTAGCAGTCTAGCATGGACATGAATTCATTCTGAGTGTCGTTTTTCTTTTGTCGTTTCTGTGTGGTGTCCAGTCGTACCAGCCAGCTGTCGGTGTCCACACTGCTGGAGCTGTGTAAAGGCCAGCTTGGAGAGCTGGCCGTAGGCAGAGAGATCCTCAAAGCAGGTAAGAACTACAAATCCCATGCAGCCCCTCTGGGGTTTCAGCTGAAATGTAGTCCTCTCCCCATGTCACATACACTCACCAGAATTGATGTATGCGACTTTGACTGATGTCTTAACAGTGTTTTTTTCCCTTCTCAACAACAGTAAATGTGCCACTCCATTTCCATCTGACCATTAATGCCTAGGTTCTCGACATCCATCTGACTACTCACTGTAAGCGTCTCTCCCTATCATCTCTCTCAGGGTCCATCGGTATTGGCGGGGTGGACTATGTCCTGAACTGCATCCTGGGGCCTCAGACGGAGGCCAATAACTGGCAGGCCCTGCTGGGCCGTCTGTGTCTGATTGACAGGCTCCTGCTGGAGTTCCCCGCTGAGTTCTACCCCCACATCGTCTCTGGAGGGGACTGGCACCAGTCTCAGACCCTGGGGGAGAGGTACGCAATCTTTTATAGTCTTATAGCGTTGTTCTTTTATAGCCTGATTCACATAGCTGCTGACTCCCTGGGAGAGGTGGAGGAGTGCCAGAGGGATGAGTGTTGTGCCTAGTGATATTTCCTGACTTCGTAGTTTGGATCTTGTAGTCACGTAGCCTTGAGTTGGTGACCTTGTCCTGGTATAGGCTCAATCACCTAGACAAAGTCTGAGTGCGTAGCCTTGGACACATAGCCTTGGCCTGGCCCATTACTCTGAATGCTTGTTAAGTTCATTGTAAGGCTCCTAATGTGCTATTATGGATTCTTTGGGCATTGCTATTAATAAACACTACAAACTTTATTAGAAATGGTGTCCTGATTTGTAGCTTGTTAATCAGTAGTTTGTTCTGTTTTTAATGTTGATGACATTTTGGTCTGGATAACACTTCCTTGAATCATATATTTCTATCTCACACAGTTCTTTTATTGCAAAACATGGTGTACTATAGGGAACAGGGAGTCATTTGAGAGCCGCAGCCTTTTAAGTTGTCCTTCTCTTTCCCTCTCTGCAGGTATCAGAAGCTGCTCCCCCTGCTGAGCTTCTCGCTGCAGTCCATCGACAACTCCCACTCTATGGTGGGCAAGCTGTCTCGTCGCGTGTTCCTGAGTGCCGCGCGCATGGTGGCCCGCGTGCCGCACGTCTTCGTCAAGCTCCTGGACATGCTGAGCGTCACCAGCTCCACACACTACGCCCGCATGCGCCGCCGCCTGCTCGCCATCGCCGAGGAGATGGACATCCTGGACGCCATCAACCTGGGCCTGGAGAGCATGGAGCACAGCGCCAGCGAGGCGCACCAACGGGCCAGCGCCGCCTTCCTGGAGCCCTCCGCACCTCAGAACTCACCCAATGTGACCGAGAGCAACACCCCGACGCATACGGTCCAGATGACCAGCGGGAAGGTAGGGAGAGGTTGCTCCAGTAATGTGGGATTGAGTCCTGAGGATATAAGTGAGAGGTTAGCGGCCATCTCCACTAGCGCTGGGCGTCCCAATATGGCCGCTTCCGCATGTGGCGGGGCCCCGGCCGAGCACCCAAAGCCCCCCGTTCAGGCGCGTAACCGCCCCCTCAGCCAGTGCCTGAACTCCCCGTCTTCCAGCCTAGCCCCCAGCCTCCCCTCACCCTCTGCCTCCCACCCTCCCCCCTCCTTCCCGGGCCCTGACAGCAGTCCCAAACCCCGGCCCCAGAGCTTCGTCCCCAGCAAGCTAGCGTCAACCGCCCCCTCCTCTGCTTCCTCCTGCTCTCCAGGCGCCCAGCGCAGGTTCCCCCAGCAGAAGCCCTTCAGCAACAAGGACCCAGAGAAGCAGCTCCCCTCCCCCTGTTTCACCCAGGCCCGACCCCTCCCCTCCAGTCAGATCCACAGACCAAAGCCCTCCCGACCCACCCCCTCCGAGGGGGCCAAGGCCGTCTGCACCTCGCCCACCCCAAGAGCCTCCAAGACTGGCATGAAGCTGGACCTCCAGGGGGAATCGACCAGCCTCTCCACCAGCGCCTCCGGAGGTGAAGTCCCCTCCAAAGGGGGCCACATGGGGGGAGCCACCACCCTCATCAGCAGCGAGGACAGCTGCTTCACCCCTGTGGAAGAGAAGTTCCGCGGACTGGACGCCTCTGCTGAGCTCAACTCCTCCATGGAAGACCTCCTGGAAGCCTCTATGCCGGCATCTGGCGACACCACCACCGTCACCTTCCAGTCGGAGGTGGCCGTGCTGTCGCCGGAGCGGGCTGGGGACGAGCCGGGAGGAGGGGGAGAGGTGAGGATGTACAGTGAGGACGTGACACAGCACCAGAAGTGCAAGGAGAAGATGGAGGCGGAGGAGGAGGCGGCGCTGGCCGTAGTCATGGCCATGTCAGAGTCGCAGGATGCGCTGCCCATCATCCCCCAGCTGCAGGTGGATAAAGACCAGGACGTCATCATCATCCAAGCAGATGTGAGTCAATGTGCACCTTCTGGAACATATGTCCCTACAAGGCTTTAGACTACACCTCAGTGTTCCCTTAACAAAAGGGCAGTTTCCCAGACACAGATTAAGCCTTGTGATTCTCCATTGAGCTTGCTTTATAGGCCAGGACTAGGCTTAATATGTGCCCAGGAAACAGCCCCAGTAACTGGCAGAATAACTAACAGGTAAGTAGAGAACATTGTCACACCCAAGGTCAGAGAATACATGGAAATAATCATTCCATTCATATCAACCCGCCAATGTTGACTGAAGCCCTAAATCTAACCCACAGCATGCATGTGTATAGGCCTAGTGTGTGTGTGTATAACTAACACACACACACACACACACACACACACACACACACACTACAGGTACTAGGTACTGTACACATGCATGCTGTGGGAAGCTTACCACTTTGTTGTTGCTCCTAGACATTTCCACTTCACAATAATAGCACGTACAGTTGATCGGGGCCGCTCTAGCAGGGCAGAAATTTGACAAACTGACTTGTTGGAAAGGTGGCATCCTATGACTGTGCCACGTTGAAAGTCACTGAGCTCTTCAGTAAGGCTATTCTACTGCCAATGTTTGTCAGTGGAGATTGCATGGCTGTGTGCTCGATATATGATGTCATCATCCCATGCTTCCCCAGACTCCAGAGACTCTGCCTGGCCATACCAAAGCCAAGCAGCCCTACAGGGAGGGCCAGGAGTGGCTGAAGGGCCAGCAGATCGGCCTGGGGGCCTTCTCCTCCTGCTACCAGGCCCAGGACGTGGGCACCGGCACCCTGATGGCCGTCAAACAGGTGAGAAGAGGAGACAGACTCATGGCAATCACAGATGTCTGCCCTGATTCCCCTATGCTGAATTCCAAACAATTATGACGTCAGAGAAATAGATGGGTATAAGCAGTGTTGTAAAAATGTGTCCTAGCCATCAGAGGGCAAGGAGGAGCTCTCACCTATTCAATTCTATCCGATCTACAGGAGTGTCTAGGGATTAAGGGCTAGGTTTTAGTTTCTAGGTGGGGCCTATGGGTCGCTTGTGTCCCCCCAGGAAGTGGCTTGTGTCCCCTGGTGCAGAAACTCTGGGGATTCCATGTCAGAGTTGTGACTTTAATTTTTGCTAGTGACATCAAACTGAGATGTTGCCCTTAAAGAGAATGTTCAGCTCTCTCTTCCCCTAATAACCATGGGTGTGTGTGCATGTCCTCCCCGCTTATAGAAGAGAATGTTCAGCTCTCTCTTCCCCTAATAACCATGGGTGTGTGTACATGTCCTCCCCGCTTATAGGAGAGAATGTTCAGCTCTCTCTTCCCCTAATAACCATGGGTGTGTGTACATGTCCTCCCCGCTTATAGAAGAGATGTTCAGCTCTCTCTTCCCCTAATAACCATGGGTGTGTGTACATGTCCTCCCCGCTTATAGAAGAGAATGTTCAGCTCTCTCTTCCCTAATAACCATGGGTGTGTGTACATGTCCTCCCCGTTATAGAAGAGAATGTTCAGCTCTCTCTTCCCTAATAACCATGGGTGTGTGTACATGTCCTCCCCGCTTATAGAAGAGAATGTTCAGCTCTCTCTTCCCCTAATAACCATGGGTGTGTGTGCATGTCCTCCCCGCTTATAGAAGAGAATGTTCAGCTCTCTCTTCCCCTAATAACCATGGGTGTGTGTACATGTCCTCCCCGCTTATAGAAGAGAATGTTCAGCTCTCTCTTCCCCTAATAACCATGGGTGTGTGTGCATGTCCTCCCCGCTTATAGAAGAGAATGTTCAGCTCTCTCTTCCCCTAATAACCATGGGTGTGTGTGCATGTCCTCCCCGCTTATAGAAGAGAATGTTCAGCTCTCTCTTCCCCTAATAACCATGGGTGTGTGTACATGTCCTCCCCGCTTATAGAAGAGAATGTTCAGCTCTCTCTTCCCCTAATAACCATGGGTGTGTGTGCATGTCCTCCCCGCTTATAGAAGAGAATGTTCAGCTCTCTCTTCCCCTAATAACCATGGGTGTGTGTGCATGTCCTCCCCGCTTATAGAAGAGAATGTTCAGCTCTCTCTTCCCCTAATAACCATGGGTGTGTGTGCATGTCCTCCCCGCTTATAGAAGAGAATGTTCAGCTCTCTCTTCCCCTAATAACCATGGGTGTGTGTACATGTCCTCCCCGCTTATAGGTGACCTACGTCAGGAACACGTCGTCGGAGCAAGAGGAGGTGGTGACTGCTCTGAGGGAGGAGATCCGGATGATGGCCCATCTCAACCACCCCAACATCATCCGTATGCTGGGGGCCACCTGCGAGAAGAGCAACTACAACTTGATGGTGGAGTGGATGGCAGGTAAGGACCTCCGATGATGATAATGACACATCCCACGTTGAAAAAGGCCTTGAAATTGACTTTTTGAAGTTTTTTTTTGTGTCCTGCTTTCCTCATTAGTTCATTTCAAATCAATCCAATTTGATTTAGTTGATTAATATAAACGAAATTTGATACATTTTCGTTTTCTTGCTTTTTGTCTTCGTGACGTGATTATTCATTATTTATTTTGTATTTATTCAACTTTTCAGAATTGGGTACATAAGATAGTATTAATTGAACCTTTAATGAGTGATGAATATGGGATGAATATGTATCAACAGCATTAACTTCATGTATGTAAATAAGAAATGTCCTGTCTAACCAGAAGTTGAACTTCATAGTAGATGGAGTACATTTTGACCCCATCCCTACTATAAAGCAGTGTCCTTCCTCCTATAGAAATAGAAGTACTGGGTTTACCATTAATAGAATAAAAAGGAATTATATTTCATGGGTTGATCCTCTCTGTTGTGTCCAGGTGGCAGTGTCCCATCTTCTGAACAGTCCTCTATGTTGTGTCCAGGTGGCAGTGTGTCCCATCTCCTGAACAGTCCTCTCTCTGTTGTGTCCAGGTGGCAGTGTCCCATCTCCTGAACAGTCCTCTCTGTTGTGTCCAGGTGGCAGTGTGTCCCATCTCCTGAACAGTCCTCTCTGTCGTGTCCAGGTGGCAGTGTCCCATCTCCTGAACAGTCCTCTCTCTGTTGTGTCCAGGTGGCAGTGTCCCATCTCCTGAACAGTCCTCTCTGTTGTGTCCAGGTGGCAGTGTGTCCCATCTCCTGAACAGTCCTCTCTGTTGTGTCCAGGTGGCAGTGTGTCCCATCTCCTGAACAGTCCTCTCTGTTGTGTCCAGGTGGCAGTGTGTCCCATCTCCTGAACAGTCCTCTCTCTGTTGTGTCCAGGTGGCAGTGTGTCCCATCTCCTGAACAGTCCTCTCTTGTTGTGTCCAGGTGGCAGTGTGTCCCATCTCCTGAACAGTCCTCTCTGTCGTGTCCAGGTGGCAGGTGTCCCATCTCCTGAACAGTCCTCTCTCTGTTGTGTCCAGGTGGTAGTGTCCCATCTCCTGAACAGTCCTCTCTGTTGTGTCCAGGTGGCAGTGTCCCATCTCCTGAACAGTCCTCTCTGTTGTGTCCAGGTGGCAGTGTCCCATCTCCTGAACAGTCCTCTCTGTTGTGTCCAGGTGGCAGTGTCCCATCTCCTGAACAGTCCTCTCTCTGTCGTGTCCAGTTGGCAGTGTCCCATCTCCTGAACAGTCCTCTCTGTCGTGTCCAGGTGGCAGTGTCCCATCTCCTGAACAGTCCTCTCTGTTGTGTCCAGGTGGCAGTGTCCCATCTCCTGAACAGTCCTCTCTGTTGTGTCCAGGTGGCAGTGTCCCATCTCCTGAACAGTCCTCTCTGTTGTGTCCAGGTGGCAAGTGTCCCATCTCCTGAACAGTCCTCCTGTTGTGTCCAGGTGGCAGTTGTCCCATCTCCTGAACAGTCCTCCCTCTGTTGTGTCCAGGTGGCAGTGTGTCCCATCTCCTGATGTGTCCAGGTGGCAGTCCATCTCTCAGTCCTCGCTGTGTTCCAGGTGCAGGTGTCCACTCCGGTCCCTTGTTGTCAGTGGCAGTGTCTGAACAGTCCTCTCTGTGTGTCCAGGTGGCAGTGTCCATCTCTGAACAGTCCTCTTAGGTGTGTCAAGGTGTGCAGGTTGTCCCATCTCCTGAACAGTCCTCTCTGTTGTGTCCAGGTGGCAGTGTGTCCCATCTCCTGAAACAGTCCTCTCTTGTTGTGTCAGGGGCAGTGTTCCATTCCTGAACAGTCCTCTCTGTGTTGTGTCCAGGTGGCAGTGTCCACATCTCCTGAACAGTCTCCTCTGTTGTGTCCAGGTGGCAGTGTCCCATCTCCTGAACAGTCCTCTCTGTTGTGTCCAGGTGGCAGTGTGTCCCATCTCCTGAACAGTACCTACTCTGTTGTGTCCAGGTGGCCAGGTGTCCCATCTCCTGAACAGTCCTCTCTGTTGTGTCCAGGTGGCAGTGTCCCATCTCCTGAACAGTCCTCTCTGTTGTGTCCAGGTGGCAGTGTGTCCCATCTCCTGAACAGTCCTCTCTGTTGTGTCCAGGTGGCAGTGTCCCATCTCCTGAACAGTCCTCTCTGTTGTGTCCAGGTGGCAGTGTCCCATCTCCTGAACAGTCCTCTCTGTTGTGTCCAGGTGGCAGTGTCCCATCTCCTGAACAGTCCTCTCTCTGTTGTGTCCAGGTGGCAGTGTGTCCCATCTCCTGAACAGTCCTCTCTCTGTTGTGTCCAGGTGGCAGTGTGTCCCATCTCCTGAACAAGTATGGGGCCTTCAAGGAGGCTGTGATTATCAACTACACGGAGCAGCTGCTCCGAGGCCTGGCCTACCTCCATGAGAACCAGATCATCCACAGAGACATCAAAGGTGAGGGCACACACATTCACACACTCCAGCGCACAGGAAATCCCTGCTGCTATTGTGTTGCCTGTCACAGGGCTAAAGATGGAGGATGGGGGATGGTGGGCCCTCAGGTCACACACAGACTCATTCCATGTGTTTCAACTTTTAGCTTTGGGGCGGAACTTTGGAGACTATGAGTGGTAACTAACTGCTACTGCACTAATTATAAGTCTCTCTGCAGAAGAGCGTCTGCTAAATGACTAAAATATAATGTCAAATGTAATGTCATATGTAGTGTTAAAATGATCAACTATAATAAAGGCTTGCGATTTGTACTGGACAGGTCAGGAATAACTCTGGTAACTAGAGACTAACTACTGGATGACTAGTCAGAACACACCTCACCCTACCTCTCCTGTTATGGCATACAATAACTCACCCTCTCTCCCCCTCTCTCCCCCCTCTCTCCCCCAGGTGCCAACCTGCTGATTGACAGCACAGGTCAGAGGCTGAGGATAGCTGACTTCGGGGCTGCAGCAAGACTGGCCTCCAAGGGCACCGGAGCAGGGGAGTTCCAGGGCCAACTCCTGGGAACCATTGCCTTCATGGCCCCGGAGGTATGCACGGATGAAAGGGAGAGAGAGTAAATCTGCGTTAGAATTAGCATTCTGTTTCCGGCCTTTATAGTGCACTCCTTTTGACTGGAGCCGTAGTGCATTTCAGACACAGCCTGACACACACACTGCGTACAAGTGATGGCTGGCATAAAGCTTGCGAGCATAAAACTAGTAAATTCCGCCACTTAAACCACTGCCCTAAGATCAAAACCCCCCCCAATCCTCTGTATCCTCTTTGTGGCTCTGAAAGAGGAAGAAGTAGAGGCCGAAGCATTAGCCTTCTGTGGGGGCTGTTTGTTTTGAAGAGGCCCCTGATCATGCTGTGGGAGGCCTGGGCAGTTGAACTCTCTCCTAATTAAACAAGGTTTTGGGAGCCACAACAATAACAAGACATTAAGGGGTCGGCCTCCATTGTGGGGCCCTCTCTTTCAAAAGGGATTAAAATGCTCTTTCATTTGGGAGTTACTGAGAAATCTAAATCCACTTTAGTTCAGTTCCGCAGCGAACACGTGACTCTGAATGGCCCGCATAATGGCGGCTGGGTTTCACCGCTGAAAAAAAGCTTTGTCGGAAGCCAACAACATTTTAAATGGCCTTCCCCAAACGTATGAAAGCAAGATTTGGCCTGGGAATGAATTGAAGCCATAGTCATGTGACAAAGAATGTAGAAACAGGGAAACTAAATAGACCCAACAAAACATAATGGCCGCCTATGGGAGGCTCCGTAATACATTTCACTCCTTGGCCGAGACACATCCTTTGGTTTGACGTTATGTGTCCATCCACCAAAAAGTAATCTGCCACTCCTCAACAACAACACAGAGTCAAGTGCTGTAAAACAATGGCTGGCCATTTCTGTCCTTTTTATGCTGCTACATGCAAATGATAGACTATGAATGGAGTAGAGTTAAGTGTGTGTGTGTGTGTGCGTGCAGTAAAGGCTTAAATTCAATAAAACGTCTTGCAGTTGTCCATTTATGTTGCTACCTTTTGCGTACGGTTGACTCTGTAGGTGCTGCGCGGACAGCAGTACGGCCGGAGCTGTGACGTGTGGAGTGTGGGCTGTGCCATCATCGAGATGTCGTGTGCCAAGCCCCCCTGGAACGCTGAGAAACACTCCAACCACCTCGCTCTCATATTCAAGGTACCGTCAATACAAGTACAGCCTCAAAGTTAGGATTTTAAGGAAACCATGTCCATTCAGTTAGATATGTGATCAATGCGTCTTCACCACCAGAAATATCCTATACTTAGAAATTGTTATTGTTGCTCTTTAGCGTTATCATTTAAATGTGACCCACTAAAAACCACAGTCATTGTTTTACACCACTAAATGGAGCTGGCACAACGTTACTGTATAAGGTTTGATGTACACACGTATAGCTGTAAAATACATATACCTGAAAAAGCACCCTATTGGCCTTCCTGTTTCATCCAAAGACCTTGTGGTTGATTGGGTTTCTACAGTAGCATGACCTCACCCTCCCCTCCTCTCTCCCCCAGATTGCGAGTGCCACCACGGCGCCCTCCATCCCTCCACAACTGACCCCGGGCCTGAGGGACGTCACCCTGCGCTGCCTGGAGCTGCAGCCTGCCGACCGGCCCCCCTCCAGGGAACTCCTCAAGCACCCTGTCTTCCGCCTCAACTGGTAGTCCCCTACCCTCCTCCCCCAGTCCCCTACAACCTCCCCCAGTCCCCAACCCTCCTCCCCCAGTCCCCAACATCCTCCCCCAGTCCCCAACATCCTCCCCCAGTCCCCAACATCCTCCCCCAGTCCCCAACATCCTCCCCCAGTTCCCTCCCCTCCTCCCCCAGTTCCCTACCCTCCTCCCCCAGTCCCCTACATCCTCCCCCAGTTCCCTCCCCTCCTCCCCCCAGTCCCCTACATCCTCCCCCAGTTCCCTCCCCTCCTCCCCCAGTCCCCTACCCTCCTCCCCCAGTCCCCAACAGCCTCCCCCAGTCCCCAACACCCTCCCCCAGTCCCCTACCCTCCCTATCCCATAGTGTCTACTACTGAAGGCCCAGCCAGCCAGCCTGCTTTTCTCTCCTTCTCCCACCGCTGCCAATCAGACCAGCCTCCCTAACACCAGACACCCCTCCATCCACCCCAGACCAGCCTCCCTAACCCCAGACCGCCCTCCATCCACCCCAGACTGCCCCCAGGCATGAGTGGAGGGCCTGGGATGGATGGGATACCTGGGTAATACCCTCCCGTTCCACTACTATGGCCTCAAACTGCTGTACCTTAGCACAAAATGCAAAAAGCGAGTCGCAAATGTTCTACTACAAAAACGGTGCTTACTTAGTTAAGAGTGCCATGTCGGTATACTGTAGTCTGTATTGCTCTGTTTTATCAAGCCTCTGTTCTGGTAAAGAAATGGTTCCTTCAGCACTTTGGTAGCCATTTTGCAATGGTTTCGAGAAGTTCTTCTTTCCATTTTAACCCCCGTGAGTCAACAAATAAGTCCTTAGAACTGCAAACTGGGGACGACGGAGTAAAATATGTTTTTTATCACTGTTATGTTGTAACGTCTGGTCATAAGTTTCAGACTCGGTTTTTGTTTTTAGAGTATCCTATGTGTAGAAGAAAGGCGTAATGAAGCAGTTTAATCGGTTGATTTTGTGCATAACTGCATTTCTACAAAGATGCCTTTAAGATGTGCATTTTACTGTTGGGCCATAAAGCTTAGTCGAATAATCATGAAGATTACTTAAGTATTTCAGGGAGCGGTGATATATCTAACAGAAACTTTGCTAGTTTGGCTAGCATAACGCTGAATGTGAACGCTTATGATGCCGGTATTGTCTCATGTTCTTTTGTTCTTTGGAAAGATCCCATGTATGAAGTTATGATTATATACATACATACACACACACACACACACACACACACACACACACACACACACACACACACACACACACACACACACGTGTGTGTGTGTGTATATACCTGTATATGTGTACATGTATACACACGTATATGTATACACATATGTGTATATATATATATATATGTATATATGTATGTATGTATGTATGTATGTTTCTTAGCTTTTTTGGGGTGTTGTTGTATATTCAAAGCTATCCTTAAGAGATTGAGACGTTTGTTGGGTATGGACGTAAGGTTTCGGAACAACGTTTTGATGTCGTGCCACGCTGTTAAAATGAAAACACCCCGTTGGTCTCTTAACTCTCGCTGTTACGATTGAGCCATGTGCATCGCACATATTTTTGTCTTTTTTAATCATTTTATGATTTTTCAATGCTGTGTCCATACATTCAAACCGCTATATTCAATATTGATCTACCATTCTTCTGGTGCTGTTCCTATGTAGAATGTCACACTACAATTCAACTATTTTTTAAAATCTTGGCTCTATTTAAAAAAAACTGTGTTATAAAATCCATGTACATCTGAGGTTTTCTATGACTCTTCTATTTTCCATTGTGGATACTCCTATATAATGAATATAATGTTTATTTTTATTTTTGGTGGAGGGATATTTCTGAACTCAAGGCAGACTTTTCTGCTTGCAAATGTTTTTACCATCTCTTTTTGATTAGAATTCTCAAACATGTTCCTAAATGGTGTTACTTTATGAGCTATAGCTATCCAAGTGTTGTTGTTCTGGTTGTAATCAGTTAAGAAAGTAAAAGGATGGTCATTAATATGTAGAATGTTTCCAAATTCAACCTTTTTTTTTTAGAATGGGGAATATGCATTTAATTGCTACTTTAATTTGGAATCCCTTAATGGCAAGGGTTTGAGACAATTTCAAAAATAATTTTTTAAGCAGAAAATGTAATCTATTTAATACAAATCCTATTCTTTATATGGAGTACAAGCTGATCCAGCTTGAGGAGTTAAATGTAAATACATGTGAAGTTTGGTAGCTAAAATGATTGTACTTGACTGTATTTTTATACCACACTCTTTTCCATAATTATTTTATTTTTGTTCCTGCTTCGGGTAATTTTTCTTATGTCTTTTTTAAAAGCTTTAAAGTTATGCACTCTTGTCTTTTTTTAAAATATATACTGGAAGAAAAATCTGTTTCTGTCAAATTCATAAAAGCTAATCAGTATTACTTCAATTTGTCATGTCGATAATTCTTACCAATCTCTCTTAATGGCTTCTGAATCCTCATCCACGTGTGTCTCAGCCAGCTTGCTGGTCTTTATCTATTTTGTCTTATTTTATGCCGATGTGATGTAATCTTATGTGCTTTTTTTGGATCTAAGCTGGACTGAAGTTTTTGTGTGAAATTGTTTCCTGTTTCCTGTGTCACTTGGTGGTACTTTTTTTTATTTGTAAAGAACGTCTATTGCTGTTTTATTCCAGTCTCCACTACCTCAGGTGTCCTATAGAGTCTCTTCTACCAAAGTTCACTTTCTCAATATATATATATATCAATATATCAATATATATTCTTTTTTTTTGGACTATTCTTTTTTTTCTTCAAAGATTTCCAGGGCTTAAGGGCTAACTTATATTAGCACCTTTACTGTGCAAATAAACTCATGAAATCTCTGGGTTAATAAAAATAAAAATTGGCTTAAGCTGTATCCTGTAAGTTAAAATGTATCAAGATATTTTAATTATTACAATTTTTTACCCCATTCAAAGCATTTTATAGCATAAATTGGAACTTATTTTGGTGTTTTGTCTTTATAGTAAATAAACAAAAATTGGGAAAAAGGTTTCTTGTTCCTCCTATCATTTTGTCAATTCTTTGTCAAAGCCTCAGAACAGCATAAATACTGTGTTCAATGTATCAATGGGCACACAGACGAGTATCCTATGAGTTAGAGCAACCTCTACTTCAGAATGACGGTCCTATTCAGTCCAACCTATGTGTTCCCTGTTTAAAATAAAGGTTACATCAAATCTGGTCATCTGAGATGGCTCCTTAACTGGTCAGTACGGGTAAAAACCTTTTCTTTGTGCATTACAAAACTCTTGGGTGAAGGCCTATCGAAACCAAAAGCCTGATTGGTGGAGTGCTGCAGAGATGGTTTTCCTTCTGGAAGGTTCTCCCATCTCCACAGAGGAACACTGGAGCTCTGCCAGAGTGACCATCGGGTTCTTGGTCACCTCCCTGACCAAGGCCCTTCTCCCCCGATTGCTCAGTTTGGCCGGGCGGCCAGCTCTAGGAACAGTCTTGGTGGTTCTAAACTTCTTCCATTTAAGAATGATGGAGGCCACTGTGTTCTTGGGGACCTTCAATGCTGCAGAAATGTTTTGGTACCCTTCCCCAGATCTGTGCCTCGACACAATCCTGTCTCTGAGCTCTACGGACAATTCCTTTGACCTCACGGCTTGGTTTTTGCTCTGACATGCACTGTCAACTGTGGGACCTTATCTAGACAGGTGTGTGCCTTTCCAAATCATGTCCAATCAATTGAATTTACCACAGTTGGACTCCAATCAAATTGTAGAAACATCTCAAGGATGATCAATGGAAACAGCATGCACCTGAGCTCAATTTCGAGTCTCATAGCAAAGGGTCTGAATACTTATGTAAATAAGGTATTTCTGTTTTTTTTTTTTTTTTTTATGTACCCTGGTATTCCGTCTAAATATTTCGCTCACATTGGCCACGGAGAGCGAGATCGCACAGTCGTGGAAAAACAAGGGCTTTTACGCAAGGCACAGTGTTATATTCTTCAAAGCGAGCATAAAAGCCATATATTTAGCTCCTTCCGGAGATCTGCATTGCTGGGCAACTCAAGACTGGGTTTCCCCTTTGTAATCCGTTATCGTCTGTAAGCCCTGCCACATACGACGAGCGTCGGAATCGGTGGAATAGGATTCCTTCTATATTGTCCTTTTGCATGTTTGATGTCTTGTCGGAGGTTGTAGTGGGATTTCTTGTATGCATCCATATCCGTGTCCCGTTCCTTGTAAGCGGTAGCTCAAGCCTTTTGCCTAGCACGGATATTGCCTGTAATCCATGGTTTTTGGTTTGGATACGTTTGTATAGTCGACATCATCTATGCACTTGTTAATGAAGCCTGTGACTGTTGTGGTAAACTCCTCAATGCCATCTGATGAATCCCGGAACATATCCCAGTCTGTACTAGCAAAACAGTCTTGTAGCCTCGCGTCTGCTTCATCCGACCACTTCCGTATTGAGCGCATCACTGGTATTTCCTGTTGGTGCTTTTGTTTGTAAATAGGAAGCAGGAGAATGGAGTCGTGGTCAGATTTAGTGAAGGGAGGGCCTCGTATGCCTTTTCTGTTGGTAGAAAAAAAGTGGCGCAGGAGACGTGATGGTAGAAGTGAAGTAGGACGGTTTTATGTCTCCGCGTGATTCTGGGTGAGCAGTTTCTTGTTTGTTTATGGCCCTATCCAGTTTGTTGAGTACCAGATTGGTGTTGCCTTGTGTAGACATTTGTGATCATTACAGATGAGAACTCTTGGTAGATAAAAGGGTCTGCAGCTTACCATGAGGTATTCTATATAAGGTGAGCAAAAGCTAGAGAATTCCTTCACACTGGAAGCAGCTGTTATTTATGAAAAAATAAACCTCCTTTAGACTTGCCAGATGCCCCTGTCCGGTCGTGCTGCTGTGAACAGGGTGTTTTAAATCTTACAATATAATGACAGTGGTTTCCTATTAATCATTTGCTTACTTTAGCAATGTCATCGTAGTGTAGACAAAATCATCATTAGCCCCTGTTTAGAATGAATGGACACCACTTCTAAATTGGGGTGTCAGTCCCCAAGAGAATGTTCATGACATTGGAGTAGCGAGACTGTGTCAAGATTGCTCATCTTAAAAAATAAAACCCAAAACAGTGGCACAGACAGGTGCAAACCATGGCTGGAATAAAAAAAGCCCCCTCTGAAAATCTATATTCCTGGCTATGATCAAAACAACAAAGTTGGAATAGCAAATAAAATTAACAACCGGTTTTCTCAGCCAATCACTAACCCCCCTGGACACAACAACCCTCCCAGCCTTCCTACCTTGTGCACAACCTCTCCCGGAAATCAAACGCTGGGAGGTGTATGACAAGCTGTGTGTGATCATAACCAACAAAGCCCCCGGCCCGACGGTGTGTCACAGCGGATCCTACGAGAATCTGCCTGTGAGTTGAGTCAACCCATCTGTGACGTCGTCAATACTTCATTCCAGCAAGGTGAATTCACCTCCCAG